TGTCAAGCACAAAACAGTGTGTCTATTTTCTATTTTTTTCAAAGAAAAAGAAATGAAAAGAAATAGCATCTCAAAATGAAAAAAATAAATGCAGAACGAAAATGTAAACCTCAACTAAAGTCAAAATCACGTAGCAAGTGCTTATATTGACCTAAAATGAACAATGAAATGCCAGATATTCGCCTGTGATTTTTTTTTAAATCAATTGAAATGTAAGATGCACAAGCTATTAACGATGTGAAATCATTCTAAGCTTCATCATCTCTGGCAACCAAAAACCACACTGAAAAGAAGAAACAAACAGGTAATTGCCATCTCGAGACTGTAGAATACAAGTTGAACACCACCAACATTATGGCATAACACCCGCAATTTTAATGGTTACCCAGACCACCAACTCATTATGAACATCAAATAACAAAAAATGCCAGGTTAGAATGTAAATTTCCGCCTAGGGGATGAATTCCAGCAGCCAAATCTTTCACAAAAACTCAGCGAATCCTAGTTAAAGAACTTCATTTTCACTTGCACAGACAAAATCAGGTCCCACAAAAATAAAAGAAAAAGCAAAAAGAAGAGTTCCACTGTTAACAATAAACCCGAAATTTCATTACACAATTGAACCCCGCAACCAGCATTCATCCAAGACCAAACCACAAAAACAAAGTAAATGCTGAGACGATATCACATGGAGTTACAAATACTCAGATCTCAAAAGAAGCACTAAATTCATCAACTTTACTACATTTTCTCGACAAGCGATCAAAGTAGAATTACAACTGCGAGTTTGTGCGTGCACTATGTGAAATAATTTTCACGTAAAGAGAGAATAAAAAGGCTGATAATGTAGATAATACTTACAGCGATCGTACTGCTAGGATGGAATTTTGGATGGATTTAGGGCTCAGATCTGAGGACCTTTGTTCGATTTTTTGGTGTGTGTGTGTGTGTGTTGTGCGTGTTTTTGGCAAGGACAGTGAGAGTGAAGCAAAGGAGTGAAGAAAAAGGGCAAAAGGACAGACTGGGACTGAGACTGATATATATTCTTATTTATTTATTTGTGCATAGATTTTAGATGAGGAAGAGGAGACTGACTGTGAGTGGGGCCCCGGTTTTCTAACGTCGTCGTCCAAAGGCGTTAGAAAATTACTCCTATGATTGTCGCGAAGATTTTTGGTTATATTCTGGCCCGTGGTTTTAGGGACTATTTACGAGATTTGACACTGTCGGAGGATGTGAGGTACTCGTTTTGCCCTTCACCCTTTGACCGCCGTTGTTTTTCTTTGACTCGTCCAATTGCTCGAACGGCCGGACCCTTTCGCCTCTCTTTCTCTCTCTCCTACTAGAAGACTTATTTCCCAAAATTCCTTTTGACCCGTTATGAAATTCGAATTGAAATTTCACACATTTATTTCCTTACTTAAGTTCCGCGGAAAATGCATACAATTGATTGTTTGAAAGTTTTCCTTTTGGAAAAAAATTATGGAAGCAAATATAAGTGCAACTGCTTTCAAGTTTCAATTTCAAAATTTACATTTGAACTGAATATTTGCAGTATTATTTTATGAATATTCTCCTAGTACTCCTTTTACATTTATGCATTACTAGAGAGGATATTTCATTATATATTGAGTTGTCATAAATTTCTTTAATCGGATTCGTATTCAATATCTACTAAAATGTAATTGGTTTGAAAATTTGAACATAGCACATTATACCCATTTAATTTTTTTGCAAAAAATTTTTATAGTAAACGATAATACGATTTGAGTGATAGAAATAAATTAAAAGATAGCTTATTCCCTTGTTTTGAGGAATTACATGTTGGTGATAGAAATATCGTGATTTTCAATCTTTTTTTATAGGTAGACTCTCTTTTGTGAGTTTCGAAAAAAAAATACCGTTTCTTTGTAGTTCTTGGGAAGCAGGTATTAGTTTCTTTGTACTTCTACATAATTTTTTTCGCAAACATATATTTTTAAATACTTATTTTTTACCTTTTCCTTTTTTTTGCCCCTTATATTCTATACTCACAGTGCATAAGTGAATATATATAATTCTACTAAATTATATTATAAGCATAGGTACCCTTCATAATTCATGTGTTCTCACTTGTTTTGAAACCACTTTTATATGCCTTCAATTTTTTGTTGAAATAATATAATACTAGGATAGTTTTAATGGAAAAACATTAACGATAACCAATCAATAAATAATATAAATCATTACAATTATAAAAAACTAGGCAATTCAAACATTTTCCCATTTTGAATGAAGAGTATTACTACTTTTTCTTGTGACATGCGGAACAATTCATGTATATAAAAAATCCATAGAACGAATTTATATTGCCTTGTGATCACAGCTATATATCTAATGCCATGAATAAACAACTTGTTTGGAAATTAAATAATAGGACGGAGAACATTTGAATTGAGAAAATTCAAACAACACCTCAAACATTGGCTATGGTACTTGAGAAAATACGAAAATTGAGTGGGGGGGGGGATATGGTATTTTCAAACTTCATGGAAGGCCAATGATATTGGCAAAAAGTTAAGGGAAGGTTTTTGGAATTATCCCATTTATCATTTATGCGGTCACTAAGAACAGGGCAATTACGTTATTATCTTCCAACCCGATAGCCTATATCGTAATTTAAGGATGGACACGGTGCGAGCGACGCTGCATGGAGGAATAAATAGGATTTTGGGGGCAAAACTCAAAAGTCGCGATCATTACCGGGTGTCATCACGAACCATTGTGCACGTCTTTATTATCCTGATACAGTCCATCGCAAAAGTCATATTGCTTTCAATTGCAGATCACCCTGTTGATAATTTTCAACTTAAATTTTGGACCCAAAAAAAAAAAAAAAAAAAAAAAATATATATATATATATATATATAGAGAGAGAGAGAGAGAGTTAAAGACAACAATTTTGTATCATAATCCCTGTGAGGCCGTGATGATGCATAAAGAGCGAAGGAAAACATTAAATAAGAAAATTGAAGCTTAGATAGCCGACGCACAATTAATTGCAGTACTACTATTAATCAAGTGATCTCTTTGTCATTTTCCTTATCTTGGACGCCTAGTGCACTTAGCAGCCACTTCGAATTCTGCTTGGCTTGTAAACTGAGGAGAAACTCGGCTTTGTTTGGATTGTATTTTTAAAAAAAAAATTTTGTAAAAAATATTAGTGTAACGATTTGATAAAATGTGACAATTTTTCTTTGAAACAAACAGAATTCGAAATTGTTATAGCCAACAATAAGGGCACACCACATAAATAAATAAAAAGTACAAATCACACTTCTAATTAATTTGTTTCCCTTTTCCCGTGACTGGCAAATGATGATTAATTAATTTTTTCTTTCTTTCTTTCAAGTTATATATATATATACACACACAAGAGATTTTGCACTTGCGACTTATGTCATGTACTAGTATTTTCATCAACTTGAGTGAGTTTGAATTTGTGGGGGAATATAACACCACTACTTTCCGCTTCCCTCGTTTCTTGGCTATGCAAACTATTATTAGTGGGTAGGAGTTCACCTAATTAATCATCCCATGAGTAGGTCAAAGTTGAACCCATTAATCTTCACAATCTCTAACAAAAAATAATATCGAGATTCAAGCAAATATAAACTAGATCCACAAAGCTGAAAGTAAAAGCACGACTAGTAAACCCGAGGAGTTGGGGCCAGTGGTAAGCGGCTGGTAATGCGAGCAGGACGATCAAGATTCGATCCTCGCTGCGCTCCTGCAATAACTCTAGGGTCAGGCCTTCACCCTCGAATAAGAGTCAAATTCTGCGGGCACTCCTCGGGCCGAATCCGGATTAGTCCGAAAGGGATATCGGGTGGTTAGACCAAAAAAAAAAAAAAAAAGCACGACTAGTATACCGTACTATTTATGGTGGGCAACTCCAAAACCAAAAGGAACGTCACAAATGACAAAACCTGAGGCAGAAAAAATTAGGAGGTGCTGTGCAGAGCTGTGTTTCAACTTTCATGTGACCCTGAGAATGCTCAATGCTATGGCTAAGCAGGGAATGAATGAATGTGCGTATGTATATTGTATGGGAGACTTGTTTGCTTGCATTGAACCCACCGCCGCCGCCCGCCAACAAACAAAGGACAAAGGAAAGGACCGTCACATGCATTTCCTCATTATTAGCAGTGCATTTCTTACCCAGTGCTGGTACTAGCCACTATCAGGTCTCGACCAATCCAAAATATCAAATGCTAAGTGCAAGTTCTGATTTCTTAGTGCACTTTCTTTGCCCACCGGGAATTGTGGGGGACAATGAAATTGAAGCTTAAGCTTTTCCTGACTGGCAGAAATTACCATTTATATGTTGACGTAGCATAAGCCATTGTTCTTTCTTTTTTTTTTTTTTTGGATAAATAAATGTTTCATTGAGTTCTTCAGCTTTGATCGCATGTAGTCAAGCAGCATTTCAAAGTTTCCAAGGAGGACAATTCCTTCAATGCCATACACCTGCTGAGGTATGAAAGTGGCAAATTATACAGCATATTTCATAATTATGCCCATGTATTATTTAGAGTGTAATTCCGGGGAACAATTCGTTTGTGTTCTGTAGCACTTGCATGATGGCAATGGTATCCTTTCAAGTCTCAATAGCTTTTCCAAGAGAAAGGGGTTATTAGACATTAATTATTAATAGGGAAGAGTATGGCAGCGGAGTAAAATTATACTAGCTTCAATTCAATGCAAAAAGGTGCTTACCCTAATCAACCCTTCTAATTTTTATTTATTCATTGAGAAGGACCCTGAAATGATTGAACAATCTTTCTGCTCTACCCGACCGATGAAAATACTTTGCCATGAACATCCATGATTACCTGGTTTTAGCTTCTCTTGGCTTTGGGCATGAACACTTTTTTTAGAAAGCTCTTTTTCATGGGATTCAATACGGTATCCAAAACCCACGTGTCATTTGTGGGACTTTTTCCGTTTGGTTGGAAACTTTAACTCTTCAAACTAACCTTTCCGCTTTTTCCTGTAACTTTTCTTCAGCTTTTATTCCAGCAGATTGGGTTTTTTTTTTCTTTCCTATCTCTTTCTCTTTGATTAAGAATCCGGTGATGTAGAAGCAAGTATTGGAAGCTCAAATCCAAATCCATTGTTTTTGTAAGTTTTCTCTTGTCACTTGGTTAATGTTTTTGCAATTCTTGAATAGTTTCTTTTCCCACTTCTCCGTTGGTTAAGCTGGCAGGCCTTCTTTTTTTTTTGGTTAATCATTTTACCCGTATGATGCCATGCATAATGAGACAGAAGGCATCTATTGCTCGCTGCTGGGAATCATTAAAACAGGAAAATTCAACTAAGATATTTAGGTGACAACATCATTGCAGCCTGCCCCCAGCAGAAAGATTTTGGGCTTAGTTTTAATAGCACTACAATACACGACGATGACTTCTTTTGTCCGGATTGCCTCATTGTACTGGGTACCTGTTGCTCTGTTTGGTGGGTCTTATACAGGGTTACGATTTTCGTTATGACTCTTAATTGAACAGCATTAGCCTTCTCTTCACCGAGTAACATAAATATGCGGAGAGGGATAGTCCTTTTTAAAGCAAAAATCACTTAAATCATGTAAGTTTATGAAACTTTGCAGGAAGAACTTTGCTAATTGACGGGGTCCGAAACGGGCTGAGTCTGTGGAAACTTGGTCATACATGGTAGTGAAAACTTTGAAGCCTCTGAATTGATCCCAATGAGGGGCAGAAAATAATATCATATTTCGTTTGCTGAATTTCTTTTCAAAATTTAATCTGTTTTCACACAAATTCAGCAGATGGTCGTTCAGATTGGATCATTTCTTTTTATAGATTCTGTTGCATTATATGATATGATGTTCTTCTATTGGTCAGGCTTATTCACTCTGTAGAAAAGAAAAAAAAAAAGTCTTCCAACAAAATAATACAGAAGGATGACACAGAGGGATCATGGTCCTGCTTCTCCATCTACTCCTAGATTTCGTCATCGTAGGCGTTCAACTGAGGTGAGCGATCAAACGATAGCAACCTATTAGTTTCTTCTAACTTCTGAGGTCCTTTGAGATGAGAACGTTTTGATTGTGTGTACTAGGATCGTCCAAGAAATGGAGGCCCATCCTATGTATACCTTAATTCCTAACTTACGCTTTTCATGCATTTATCCCGTCATTTAGTCCATTTCAATACTACCAATATGTCATAATTGAATGAGGTTGGCGGCACAGGGATTTCTGCTTTTGCATGTCTTGTCTTGCCACCACAGTAAGTCTAAGTTATGGCTTCAGGCTGGGGATCAAATTGCCCCGGCTTGCAGTTAATCCAAAGAGTGCGTTTGATCTAAAATTTTCTCGGCCATGTAAAACATTTATTCCTCATCAACTTTCATGGTATATTTAGGAACTAAACATTTCATCCTCTCTTCAGTCTTTTCCGGATGTACGCAAATTGAGCGGAAGCTACTTACTCGTTGATGACGAGAACAAGTACAGATCAATGCGGATCCGCACAGCTTCTACGTTTTGGATGCTTATAAGTATATTATTCATTCTTTACATGGGTCATCTTTATATCTGTGCCATGGTGGTTGTCATCCAAATATTCATGACTGGAGAGCTATTCAGTTTATCAAGAAGAGTCAACGAGGAAAGGCAGCTTCCAGGATTTAGGCTGCTAAACTGGTAATGATTCAAATCAGCGTTCCTTCTCGTTTTGAAGGCTTGTTAATTCCTCGCGGCAGAAGATTAAGGTCTAAAACTAAGATGATGTGTTGCTCCAGGCATTTCTTCTTCACAGCAATGCTGCATGTATACGGCCGTATTCTCAGTCAACATCTTGTAAAAACTGTAACGTCTGAAAGGGCCTTCTATAAGCTGGTGAACAAGCTTGTAAAATACCAGATGGTCATTTGCTATTTCTTATATATTGCAGGTTGGACCATGCTGTTATGAGTCCTTACCTTAGGTCTTATATTTCTCTCCTCTTAGTCTTTGATTGGTTACTAAATATTGTTGCATGCATCTGGTGGCTTCATGTTTTATTGGCACATTTCTTTATGAAAATGAACGTTCAGCCCAATGTTACAGGAGTCGTGTGCTTCATTCTCACCCTGAAGAAGAAGATGTACAAATATCAGTTTGGTCAGTATGCCTGGACACACATGATCCTCATTACGGTATTCATGCAGTCATCGTTCACTGTAGCCAACATTTTTGAAGGAATATTCTGGTAATGTTGGGCCCCCAATTGTTCATTTTTTCACTGCATTTTTTTTTTTTTTCCCATAATGAACTTCTGAAGCAGCAGTTTTTAAGAGGGAATCATCACTTTTAACGCACTTGGTTAGGTGCTCTGTTGTCGTCGAACAACAAAGATTAGCAAAGCTACGAATTCCCTGGAGACAGTTACATTATATGCCTATTTTTCTGCTCGACTTTGGCTAACCTAATGAATGAACCTGCAGTAGAAGCCCAAGTTACACAGAAATCTGATCTTTTGGTCTTTCCCATTTTTTGTTATAGAAATTTATATATGATGTTACAGAAATGTGCTGATAGGATTTGGGGGTTCCTATGGATGTAAACAAAGTACCTTTCTTTAAAAAAAAAAAAAAAAAGGAAATAAAATCCAAATGAATATTGATTTCTTCAAAAGTTGTGGAGATTTCAATCTCTTTATGCTTTTCAACTGAAGAATTATGTGGCCAATTTGCAATGTTATCAATTCTCCAGTCCGTCTTTATGCGAGTGAAAAAACAAGTTGATCGTCGTGATTGATGCAGGTTCCTTTTGCCTGCATCACTTATAGCTATCAACGATATAGCTGCTTATCTTTTTGGTTTCTTCTTTGGAAGAACACCACTGATCAAACTTTCTCCAAAAAAGACCTGGGAGGGTTTTATCGGAGCATCTGTTGCAACCGTGACATCAGCATTTCTGGTAAGCATCTTCTGGTGCTTTAATTATGATGACGAAAAGTAAACAGAAAATATTATGTTCTTCAATTTTCAGGGTACATAGCACGAAAAGGATAAGCTCTATATATGCTCGTAGTGAAGTTCACAAAATAAAAAAAAAAATTTTTTTTTGGGGGGGTACGAGGTGGCTTCATCTTAGCATAAATGTACTGCCCGGCCTGCTAAATGTCTTTACTACCTCTCGACTTCCAGGATTTCTCAGACAAATCGTGTCCTTAGTGACTATATATATCCTAATGAATTTCACATGCAGCTTGCAAACATCATGGGCCGTTTTCAGTGGCTTACTTGTCCAAGAAAGGTGAATTTCTCCGTACAAACCATTTCCCAATGGTTGGAAACCAGGTTTATGACATGACATTGTGTATCTCGATCTAAAATAACCAAGTGCAGGATCTATCAACCGGTTGGCTCGAGTGTGAACCTGGTCCATTGTTTAAGCCGGATTACTATTCATTATTTGGGTTGCTTCCTGAATGGGTAATTCACAGACTGTCAAATGCTTCCATTGAAATTTTTAACACCACTTTCTTGCTCAAATTTCTTGCTTAAAGACACGGTAGTGTAAATCTGTTTTAACAAATTAATCGGTGCAGTTCCCTTGGAAGGAGATATCCATTTTGCCCGTGCAGTGGCATGCTTTATGCCTGGGCTTGTTTGCATCAATGATAGCACCTTTTGGAGGTTTCTTTGCGAGTGGATTCAAGAGAGCTTTTAAGATCAAGGTAATCATTCCTATATTATTGTCTCTGGATATTTTTTAAAAATAAATATTTGTGGAAATCATACCCGTCTTTTCCTCCATTTGTTATTCAGGATTTTGGTGCCAGCATTCCTGGACATGGAGGTTTTACTGATAGAATGGACTGCCAGGTGAGCTACCAGAATCTGTCTTTGAGCACTTGTCTCGAAATTGCCTCTTTCACGAAAGGGTGCAAAACATCTCCATATTTCTTTTCATCCTTGCATTTTCTCATCATCTATATGGAGTCTTGTGTCTGATCTCAAGCGGAGGGCACTGATGACCAATGCCAACCTTCAATGCAGATGGTGATGGCCATATTTGCTTACATCTATTACCAGTCTTTCATTGCTTCCCAAGACAATCCTGTCGAGATGATCTTGGATCAGGTGAACTGCTCATTGTTGGAACAGCTACTTCATATAGATTTGAAGATACTTCATTTTCAGTTTTCAATCTCGTGACAACGGTGTGGAAGTTAACAATGCCAAAGATTTGCCTGTGGCATTAATCTCGAAAAACACGAACATGCTACAAAAATATTGCATTCAATTATTAATCGGGAAAAACATTAGGAACTAGTCCAGCCACGAGTATTACTTGATTTCCCAGTCCATACTCCTAATATGCTGCAGTTTTGGCGTTGCAGATTGTACGGCATCTCAGCTTCGAGGAGCAAAACGCACTCTATTTGAAGCTCAGTCAGATATTCGAGGAGCGGCAGTTTATCACTTCCTTGAGCAGATAATTCTCAGTTTCGCTTGGATAACAATTGTTGGCAATGGCTATGAAGCAACTTCAAGGTTATAGGATTCAATTTTGAAGATAGGCAGGTTCCCTATTTACAGGTTGCAACCATGGTTTGGAGGAAAGAGAATAGAGATTAGAATGGTGGGATTGCTGACGTTTTATTGTAAACTAAGGACATGGGCAATCCCGAACCACCCCAAGAACATGAAACAAACGAATAACTGTGTGCTACCTTGCACGAGTTGCAATTTTCTATCTCGATCTTTGTCACATAACGTTTTTTGGTTCTTCTGCTTTGTGGAGACCGAGGTTTTGAATGCTTGGTCAGAACTCACAACAGAGGAGCAATCTCAAGGAGGAAAAAGGAAAGCAGCAGCAGCAGCAGGTTTTTAAAAAAAAAAAAAAATCTGTTCTTGGGGATTTATTCAATATGGATCATTAAACTTCGCATGTCCAACGACCCGAATGCTAAACAATATGGATCATTAAATGCTATAATTTCTCTGATTCCGTAAAGACAACCCCAAAACAGTGGACCTGAGACCGGCAAGTCCAACACGAATCTTGCAATAACTTCGCATGTCCGGCCGAAAACATTGGAGATGTCATCTCTTCTCATAGTTCGCTACCAGAAGGTGGACCGTTCTTAAAAGTGAAAGCCACAACAGATATATATCTCCTTTCCTTGCTATCCAAAACCATGCATTATTTTCTAATTGCTTTTATCTACCGAGTTGTGTATTGTATTTCTGCATTTTCTCTTAGCCATTCTAGCACTTCTGCCCCCTCCAGCACCTCTTGCACCTGTACGAATTTTCAAAGGGAAAAAGAGCAAGTAAAAGCATTGCCACTTGGTACACCTTATGCACGGATTTAGGATGTTCCTCAAGAGGCCGGAGATTGAATTCAGAGCAAAGCAGCCCATTAAACCACGTCAACATTCCTTTTACTTCTTTTCTATACAATTTCTAATAAAGGAAAATTGCTCAGCTCTGAATCCCTTTATCTACCAAAATTTCTCAAGGTTTCCCAATTAGTTCAAAACGTAGTTTGTCTGTGGACCCCAAACTATTTAGTCTAAAAGAGATATCAATTTTTTTAAAATGGCTATGAGGATTACATCTTGCGTAGTGTACTGACCTGTTCCTTCACACGCTCCTCATCGTATTCCTGATTATGTCTTTTGAATTCGGCAATTGAGTTTTTTACTTCTTTCACCAGCTCTTCTGTTGAAAACTGCGGCATGGGAAGGAAGTCATAGATGAACACTAGGTTTTCCAAACTAAATGGTTAATGAAAATATACGAGATAAGCAAAGGATGAGTAGTTTGAATATCATGGAGAAAGAATCAGAGGGGGATAAAAGGGTGCACCTGCAAATTTTCACGTTTAAATATGTCACCAACAGCTAGATTCTGCTTTATCACATGATTTATGTTTTCCTTGTTGTTCTCCAAGAACTCATTGACTGCCTTGGCACTTGATAAATATGCCAACTGTTGATCATTCAGCTGCCTATTTGCCTACTCCAATTACAGTGCTTAAATGAATACGTGTTTATTAGATGCATAATGATGTCAACTTCTAGCATTCTAAGAAAGTCAAGAGTGGCCTACAAGAAAATAGGATTGGAAGTAATCACCTGCATTTGCAAAAGTTGGGCTCCATAAAGTTCCCTTCCTTGTTCCTCAAACAAAGACCGAGGGATGTCCACTTCAACCATCTTTAGAATGCCAAAGAGAATAGCTAGACTTGTAGTTAGAAGAATTTACATGGGTACGAGAATAACCAAACTACTGAGGTCATGATGGTGAAAGTTCAATTGAAAAGAAAATTCTCTTAAGTGCCCACTTGTAAAAAAATAAAAAATAAAAGTGCCCACTTTTAGATACCACATAAAGTTGGTGAGTCCAGGAGAACAGGGAGAGGGAGGAGAGATTATTCTCTTATAGCTATTATAATGCCACAAATAACACCATCATCACACTACATCAAATGTCGACTTGAATAACATATAAAAAGACAACGAAAAGAAATAAAAGCAGACAGATCAACAAGATAAAGTCCACTTTAACAGCAAGGGTAACATGTAAGTTGGATAGGATAAACTGCAGCCAAAAGATGTCAAAGTGGATGTTTCTGATATATCTAATGTTCATCATGCCTCAAAGTAGAATACCTTGCATAGTCGATCAAGAATTGCATTATCTGCTGCTTGTTCTTTGGCAGTTTGCTCCACTTCTAGGCACTTCTCCAGTAATGCTTTCTTGACCTGCAGGCACATGTAGCAAGTAACATGTGAAAAAAGGATGAGCAATTACACCAATCACCTGAATTTAATTACAACAGGACTCAAAAAGCTCACCTCCTCCAGTGTAGTGCACCCAGGAAGCAGCTTATCAGCAATGGAATCATCAAGATCAGGTAGATCTCGATAAAACAGTTCCTTACATTCCACCTAGAGTAAGCGAAGCATTACGCTGCATCATTTTCCTCAAATGTTCCATTAACATGTATAAGGTTGCATGCAGAAATATATTAAACTATTGAATAAAGTTTAGATGAATCAAAAGTGAACATTAACCTTACAATTTGATAATTCTGTCAAATTGATTAAATAACACTTGTTAGATGCATTGACAACAAGGAAAACTTTACACGAAGGTACCCTGTCTCAATATTGGTAAAGTTTCAGGGGACTCTGTGAGTTCTAATAACAGCTAGTATCAGCAAAAATGAATACCAGTAAGTTCAAAATTGCCCAGGCTTTACACAGGCTACAACAGTTACGAATTTCACAACTCATCTTGTGTACTAAAAGGCGTAAATAAAAAGACGAGAGAAGAAAATAAGCAAAGCTTATCATGTAGAAAATAAATGAATTTACTTGTCAGTTTCATCAATGTGCAAGACCCTTAAAATAGGAATGTGACTCACGGTAAATTTAGCTTCAATACCCCGAAGATTTTCTTGTGCCCATGATTCAGGAAATACATACTGAAAGGTCTTTGTTTCACCACGTTGGATCCCAGTAATCGCCTCCAGGAAACCAGGAAGGATTCTATCTCCATCTTCTGTATCAAATTGAAAACCTACAAGCAGATATTGAAGTGTCAACCTTTATTCATAATTACAGAAAGAAAATGCCTTAAACTTTTATAATCATGAAGTCTAGAGACAGATCCATCATACTGCTCCTATTTGCAATAAAGCATCAGGCATGAAATCTGCAAAGTTTAGTACTGCAGACATCTTCATAGTTACAGCTTTGAGATGCATAGTTACAGCTTTGCATCTTCATACGTAATTTCTAAGGGGATACTTGAGAATAAAGTCCATTCACACCAGAACATATATGGATAGATCTTGGAATGGGAGTTCTTTCTTTCTATCGCAAAAGTAGAGGCATGCACCAGAAACCAAATAAAGTGAAAAAAAAAGGATATATAGTTAAAACAGACAAATAACATCTTGATCAGAAGATAATCAACTATTGTTTGAAGAAGAAATATGGTCGAGGATGGGCAAACCTCTACTCTCTGCCGATGGAATGCTTTTAGCATCTGAGTCATCTGCCTCTATTGTTGTTGCAGATATATCAAGTACAGCAACATCCCCAAGCTGTAGAAATTTACTCTCAAGTCCACAATACATTAGAAAGCAAGAAGACCTATTTCAGTTATTGAACTTGGAATATGTATCATTCCTACGAAATAAAGCATGCTTTTACCTTTACTCCTCTGTCAGTTACAATTCTAAGTGAACCTAGAGACTTATGGCGACGCCTTAATTCTTCTTCAGACGCTTTCTTGGCATCTATCTCGCTGTCTATCTCTACAACAATCTTCAAATTCTTGTACCCATATTCAGGAACCCATTTGACTTCAGGCGCCACATCAACAATGATGTCATATCTAGACCCCACTAAAAAATTGCATGAGCACACGGAAAAATGCATATGAAAGTAAGAAAGTATTGAATTTCCATCACTATTTCCTTGCCTCTGAATGCAATAATACTATAACTACATTCTACCATAGGGAGCTGTAGCTACATAATAGCAACCAAGTTCATAAGCTCCATTACATGACATGCAAGGGTGAAGTTACTTGAAGTTAATACTTTAACAAACCTCAGAGAGTTCAAAGAAGAGTATGTATTCTCCATCTCTGAAAATTTTGTCACAATACGAATTGAATCTTCCAAGGCTTTTCCAGTCATCTGTGAAATAGCATTCGAAATATAGTCAGCAAACCAAGTAATGAGCAGTTCCAGCATAAAGAGAAGCGCGCCATGCATTCCATGTTCGGTAAGAAATAATCTAGGAATAGTCGTTAACAGATGAAACCAAATAGAAAAGACAACCTACCGAAGACATAGCATGTGGAAGGGTTCTCTTCAAGATAGACTCAACAATAGCCTTCTGGATATTCTGTTTACCTATGTAATTGATAAGAATGCTTTCTGGAACATTCTTCCCAGGGCGAAACCCTGGCACCTGCACCCAGTAGCATTGTAGCAATATACCAATCAATTTGCAATTCGTTTTGCCGTATTCACAAAGGAAAGCTCAAATTTGACACTTCCCATTTCACATATCAGAGAGCTTCTCTCAAAATCGCTTCTTTTTTTTCATTCTTCCTTCTCTTTTAACAGACAGAGATAAAGATTCTTATAAAGACTATAACAATTTATTGGCAGATATTAACAGACTGATAAAGCAAGGCAAAAAGCACCTTTGCCTTCTTCATGAACTCTCGGATGACTCTTCTGTAGCAATCCTCACAAACAACAGGAGGAACTTCTACGCTCAACCTCACCTGCAAGCAAGAGTTCAACGATAAAGATAAAGCTCGTTAGCAACATTCAAGGGGTCACTTAAAAATTAAACACCAAGAAAACATGCGTATGGGATGTTCTAAACAAAGAAATAAAGTTTTCACCTTTTACTGAGATTAGAGATGCAGTTAGGAGAAAAAAAAGGCGCACAAGATTACTCACTCTAGAATTGGGTTCTTCGGTTTCAGTAACATTGAGATCAGCTGGAAGTTTTTCAACAAGGGTATCAACTTCCGCAGTAGAAGCTGAAGCTACAAAGGTATTTGAGATTTTCTTGAATTGCTGAGACGGTGAATTACTAGAAACGTGTTTAATAGCAGGGAAGAAAATTGTGTTCTTGACGGGCTGAATAAGAGGGTTCACAGGTCGGGAACCGAAAGAAGGGCAAGGGGAGAGAAGAGAGGCCTTGAATTCGAGTAATGTTGATGCTG